TGGTACGCCACAACTGATATTGCTAATGCATTTTTCTCCATCCTTTTGGCAGCAGCATAGAGGCCACAGTTCGCTTTCCCTTGGAGGGGCATCCAATACACCTGGAATCGGCTGCCCCAGGGGTGGAAACACAGCCCTACCATTTGCCATGGACTGATCCAGTCTGCACTGGAACAAAGGGGAGCTCCTGAGCGCCTGCAGTACGTTGATGACATCCTCGTGTGGGGCAACAGAGCAGAAGAATTTTTTGAGAAAGGGAAGAAAGTAATGCAAATTCTCCTGAAAGCTGGTTTTGCCATTAAACAGAGTAAGGTCATGGGGCCTGCACAGGAAATCCAGTTCTTGGGGGTAAAATGGCAGGATGGATGTCGCCATATTCCGATGGATGTGATCAATAAAACAACGGCAATGTCTCCGCCAACTAGCAAAAAAGAAACGCAAGCTTTCCTAGGCCTTGTGGGATTTTGGAGAATGCATGTGCCAGGCTATAGTCAGCTTGTGAGTCCTCTATATCGAGTGACTCAAAAGAGAAACTATTTTGAGTGGGGCCCCGAGCAACAACAGGCCTTTGAACAACTCAAACAAGAAATTGCTCGTTCAGTAGACCTTGGGCATGTCCATTCTGGACCATCTGTGCAAAACATACTGTACACTGGAGCTGGGGAGCATGGTCTCACCTGGAGCCTCTGGCAGAAAACACCAGAAGAAATTCGAGGTCAACCTCTGGGTTTCTGGAGCCGTGGCTACCGAGGATCAGAAGCCAATTACACCCAACTGAAAAAGAAATACTCACAGCATATGAGGGTGTTCGAGCTGCTTCAGAAGTTGTGGGTACAGAGGCACAGCTCCTCTTGGCACCGCGGTTACCTGTGTTACATTGGATGTTCAAAGAGAAAATTCCCACTACACACCATGCAACTGATGCTACATGGAGTAAGTGGATAGCGTTAATTACACAGCGGGCTCGAATGGGAAAACCTAATCGCCCAGTAATCCTGGAAGAGATTATAGACTGGCCGGAAGGCAGAGATTTCAGAGTGCCAACAGAAGAGGTAACCCGTGCTGAAGAGGCTCCACCATACAATGAGTTGCCAGAAGACAGAAAGCGGTATGCGTTGTTTACTGACGGATCCTGCTGTGTGGTAGGGAGCCATCGGAAGTGGAAAGCTGCTGTGTGGAGTCCCACACGACGCATTGTGGAGGCCATGGAAGGGGAAGGCGAGTCGAGTCAGTATGCAGAAGTAAAAGCCATACAACTAGCCCTAGAGATCGCCAAAAGAGAAAATTGGCCAGTATTGTATCTTTATACTGACTCATGGATGGTGGCAAATGCTCTGTGGGGGTGGCTGCAGCAATGGAAAGAGAGCAACTGGCAGCGCAGAGGGAAACCTATCTGGGCTGCTACCCTGTGGCAAGATATTGCTGCCCGGGTAGGAAACCTGGATGTTAAAGTACGTCATGTAGATGCCCACATGCCCAAGAGTTGCGCTACTGAAGAACATCGGAACAATGAAGAAGTGGATCAAGCTTCGAAATTGAAGTGGCTCAGGTGGACCTAGACTGGGAACGTAAGGGTGAGCTGTTTGTAGCTCGACGGGCCCATGAAACATCAGGACATCTGGGGAGGGATGCCACTTACAGGTGGGCTCGTGATCAACGGGTGGACTTGACCATTGAGGCCATCACACAGGTTACCCATGAGTGTGAGACCTGTGCTGCAATCAAGAAAGCCATGAAGGTAAAATCTCCCTGGAACAGGGGGAGGTGGACAGGGTTTCGATATGGTGAGGCCTTGCAAATTGACTACATCGGACCACTCCCAAAAACCCGCAAATGGTACATACTCACCATGGTAGAAGCAACTACTGGGTGGCTGGAAACATACCCTGTAAACCACGACACGGCCCGAAACACGGTCTTGGGCCTGGAAAGACAAGTATTGTGGTGTCATGGTACACCAGAGAGAATTGAGTCTGACAACGTGAGTCATTTCCGAAACAATCTTGTTACCTCCTGGGCAAAGAGGCATGGTGTTGAGTGGGTGTACCACATCCCTTATCACCCACAAGCTTCTGGGAAGGTTGAGAGGTACAATGGACTGTTAAAGACTATGTTACGAGCACTGGGGGCTGGGACTTGGAAACAAGGGGACACAAATCTACCAGAAGCCACTTGGCTAGTTAACATAGGGGTCTGACAGCCGTGCTGGTCCTGCCGAAACAAAACCCCTACACACTGTGAAAGGAACTGAAGTCCCCGTAGTGCATATAGGAAGTGTGGGTTGCTCCTGCCTTGGGAAAAGGCAAACCTACTCATGGGATTGTCTTCGCCCAAGAACCGGAGTATACCTGGTGGGTCATGCAAAAGAATGGGGACATCAAGTGTGTGCCTCAAGGAGATTTGACCTTGAGAGGAAACTAATCTGTAATCTAAGTTAGATGTTGTAGGAAGACGCTGTAGGATCAACGACAGGTCAACTTTGCAAGGAGCCGGGCAGTGCAAAAGGACTTGAGCTAAGCTGGTGCTGGCGTCCAGACATCCAACTCCACCTGCCTTAAGTGGCCACTTTGGCAGATCATCAACAGTTCTTATGAACATTTTCCAAGAAAGACCTATGGAATGAAAAGATACACCTGCCTATTAATCCTCCCTGTTAAATCCTTGTCCTGATAAAGGACAAGGAATAATGATGAGAATACTTGTATGCTAAAGTATGGGGGATCTGAGTGTGACACAAATGTTATGGAATAAGGGGTGGAGGATGTACTGGGTCTGGCTGGGATGTTAACTTCCCTGCAGCAGCCCAAGCAGTGCTGTGCTCTGCACTTGGAGCTGGAACAGCAGTGGGATCACAGCAGGGTTGTGTCTGCTGCTGAGCAGTGCTGCACATCGGGACTCTCTCTACCCTCCTAGGGGTGGGCAAAAAGTGAGAAGAGAAACATCCCCAGGGCAGCTGACCTAAACCAACCAAAGGGATGTTCCATACCATGTGGTGTCACACTCAGCAATAAAAGGTGGGAACAGGAAGAAGAGGGTGGGCTCTCGTGGGAAAATCGGTCCTCCTCCGAACACCGCTCCGTGCGTTGAGGCCCTGCTTCAAGGACATCATTAATCATCGCTCATTTGTGGGAAGTAGAGAGTAATTTCTTCCTCTGCACTTCCACATAGCCTTCATTTGTTTTATTTCTTTGTTTTCCTCCTTTTTTTTTTTCTTTCCCCTTCCCTTTTCCCCTTTCCTTTTTTTTTTCCTTTAGTTAAATTGTTTAGTTCTTAATAATCTTTAATTATTATTATTATTTCCCTTTAATTAAATTATCCTTATCTCAACCCGTGTGTTGTTCTTTGCTTTACTTCTTCCCCTCCTGATCTAAGGAGGGGGAGTGAGAGAGCGGTCCTTGTCCTTTACCAGGCATCTAGAGCAGTGGGCACCTCCAGTGCTTTAAAAATATTCACCCCTGAAAAACTGCAGAATCCTAAAAACCAGGCAGAATGCTTCAAAAAGGTGTGTCATCACCCTGGCAATTCCAAAGAGACACAAATCACTGCAACATGCTGGGGCTTGGCCCATGCACTTGGCCCATGTACTGGCTGGTTGGTGCAGCCAAAGTTTGCTGGTTAATGCACCCGCACACCCCACGCACACCAGGCTGGGGAAGGCACAGCCAGGCCCCCAGCAGCCTTCAAGCAGCCCTCGGAGGTGCTGATGGCAGCACGGGGAGCATACGCAGCAGGAGAGGGCTTACACAAGCAACCTGGAGAGCAAATAAATCGGCATTGCAACCGGGGGCTGCTAAACAAACGCACCATGAGCACAAATTCTAAACCAGTTTGTCCCATCGAGCATTGTCTGCTCAGGTCTGCTGATCTCTCACAGTATCTCAGGTACCTTCCGGCCTCACACTAGGTGCTAAAAGCAGCGCTGTGGTGGAATGCAGCAGAGAGCTCAGCACCGCACAGCCACCTCCTCGGTCACCTCCCCACCGGGGGAAGGGGAGAGCTGACAAGAGGAAAAGTGCACAGACTGGCAGGCTGAGAGAAAGACAGTTTAATGAGAAAGAAAGACAGAAAATAAGAAAGCAAGAAAACTGAAGAAAGGATGCACAGAACAGTTGCTCACCACCCTCTGACCCATGCCCAGCCTGTCCCTGAGCAATGGCAGCCCCTCAGCCAACCCCACCACAGTGTGAGCAGCACAGAAGTCCTTGGCTTAGTGTCAGCACTGCTCAGCAGCATCTAAGCCAGCAGTGTGTTATCAGCACCATTCTCATCCTAAAACCAAAGCCCCACACCAGCTACGGTGATGAAAAGCAACTCGATCCCACCAAAACCAGGACAAGCCAGTGTCGCTCCTGCAGGAGCCCCTCTGCACTGAGGGCTGCAGAGCCTGCGCCTCACCTCTCAGCACCCAAGGGACTGGGACCCACACACGCCCTAGAGCATGGGCAACTGATAAAAGGCGATTTCCTGTTGGTTTCCCTGCAGCCTTTTGCAGCAGCCCAGCAGCAACTGGGTGGTCATGGGGGGCTGGCACAAACTGTCTGGGGGTTGCTATAAAAAGGCAGAGCAGCCAGCTCCACGCACCCTGCAGCAGCGCCGAGCCGTGGGTCCTGCATGCAACAGAGCAGAGGTAACATCTCACTGCAGCACCAGGGCTCCTCCTGGCACAAATGCTGCGGCCTCAGAGGATGTCGGGGCTGCACGGGGGAACCCAGGTGTCTGCGGTGTTTGATGCAAGTAGTTGGGCTGGAGTCCGGGCCGGTATCGGGGTGGGGAAGACCCAGGTGGCCGTGGCTGGGGACACACACTGCGGGTGCTTCCCTCTGGTGCCAGGGGGGCCATGGGCGGCTTTGGAGGTGCCCCTGATGCATCTGCTCTTCTCCCTGCAGCCTTCTCCGACCCTGCGCTTCCCCCTAGCAGACGCCCGTGCCCTGTACTGCTGCACTCAGCGGCTGAGCTCAGCCGGTTGCAGAGGACCGGGTCCTGCGTCCTCGCATCCCGCTCGTGGCTGGACCCCCGGAGCTTCCTGCACATGGAGCACCTCGGCCTGGGCTGGGTGCTGCTGGCCGGCACCTTGGCTGGCACCTTGGCCGCCAGCAGCACCCGCGAGCAAGACCTCGGCCCCATCAGGGAGGAGGCGATGGACATGGCCCAGAACTCCTTCGATGACCGGTACCTGGGCTGCAGACGCAAGATGGAAAAGAAGCTTAAAATGGTGAACCGCACCGAGTTCGAAAACCACACCTATGCAGAAACCTGGAGAAAAGCAAATGAGAAGTGGCGGAACTCCAACCACCCGCAGGTGCTGCGGTGGCAGTACGCGGTGGCCGTGCTGGCGTACACTTACCCTACAAGTCTGTACCGCAAGTTCAACGCAGCTGTGCGCAAGGATGGGTGCTCCCGCGGGTACTACCTGGAATGCTTCCCCTTCAAGACGCTGCATTTCCTCCTGACCGAGGCCCTGCACACTCTGCGGAAAGCCCAGGGCCGCAGATGCTACAACGTCTACCGTGGCGTCAGGGGCATCCGCTTTACAGCCCAGATCAACCAGACTGTCCGATTCGGCCAGTTCGCCTCTGCCTCCCTCCATAAGAAAGCTACCAGGAGATTTGGCCAGAACACTTTATTCAAAGTGTGCACCTGCCATGGTGTTCCCATCTGGAACTTCTCCTTCTACCCTGAGGAGAAAGAAGTCCTCATCCCACCCTATGAGGTCTTCAGGGTCACCAACTTCACACGTGACAGAGACAGAAACATCATCCATCTCCGCTCCCATGGTGTGCGCAGCAACTACAACTGTGCACTGCTGAAGGGTAAGGGCAGGCAGGGTGAGTGCCCCGGGAGATGCTGGGGACAGGGCACAGCCCTGGGCAGGCGCCGCCGTGCTCCCCGCGCTCCTCCAGCCATGGCTGCAGAGGAACGGGGGCCCCGTGCCACCGGCTCTGTGAGGGGAAGGGGAGCCTCGTGGTGAAGGCAACACCTCCGTGTGGGGAGCTCGGGGAGCCTGGGGAGCTTGGGGAGCTTGGGGAGCCTGGGGAGCTTGAAATAACGTGGAGCTGCTGTGGAGGCATGGGGGTGTGTAGAGAAGGAGCAGGAGGGCCTGCTGAGGGGTTAGGTTTGGGGTATAAAAAGCAGGGCCGGTCAGTGTTTGTGTGTCCTATCGTCGCATTTCTCGCATTAAAGCTTTTCTCTTTGCACACTCGCAGCCTTTCCCATGTGTCCGCGTGCTGAGAGGCCTACGTGCCAGCTCCTGGCGAGGCCTCTGTGTGTGCGAGTGAGCTCAGTGCCAGCTCCTGCAGCCAGATCCAAGTGTCCCTTCTCTCCCCAGCCCTGCTGGGGAGGAGGGGAGCGAGCGGCTGTGCGGTGCTGAGCTGCCTGTAGCTTCAAGCACAGCAGGCCTTCTGGTGCCCAGTGCGAGGCCCGAAGGCTTGAGGGAACGGCAGAGCCAAGCGCAGCGTGCCCGAGGAACAGCCCTGCGGGGATCAGCCCACAACACGGCGCTGCCGCCGGCGCCGGGCCTAGGGCCGGCTGCGGGACTGGTGGTGACAGTGCCCGGAGGGGCCGGGGGCAGTGGCAGCCCCACAGGGAGGAGAGGTTGAGATAAGGACAGGGAGATCGCTCAACCATTATCATAATGAGTGAAAGAGACTCAGAGTAGGAAGATGAGTATCATTTATTGCCCATTACTAACAGCTAGAGCAGTTGGAAAACAAAAAACCCAAACTCCAGCACCTTCCCCCATCCACCTCTTCCACCTCCTCCCCCAGAAGCGGTGCAGGGTAACGGGCAATGGGGGCTGCGGTCAGTCCCTGACGCTTCATCCCCCCGCCCCTCACGGTCCCTCTGTGCCCCTGCTCCCTGTGGGGTCCCTCCCATGGATGCCGTCCTTCCCCAACTGATCCTTCAGGGGCTCCAAGAACTGCTCCACACAGCTCCGTCCCACGGGGTCCATCCCCCAGTCCCAAACTGCTCCAGCACGGGGCCCCCACAGGTGCTGGCAGCTCCCCCCAGCCCCCTGCTCCATGTGGGCTCCTCTCCATGGCTGCAGCTCCGGCCCGGGGCCTGCTCCTGCGGGGGCTCTCCATGGGCCGCAGCCTCCTCCAGGCCACATCCACCTGCTCCGGGGGCTCCTCCACCCATGGGGGGGCTGCAGCGTGGAGATCTGCTCCGTGTGGGACCCATGTGTGCAGGGGGACAGCCTGCTCCACCAGGGGCCTCTCCATAGGCCGCAGGGGAACTTGTGGTTCATGGAGCACCTCCTGCCCTGCTGTGGCACTGACCTTAGGGGCTGCAGGGCTGCTTCTCACTCCTCTCTCCAGCTGCTGTTGTGCAGCAGTTTTGGTTTTCCGGTTCTTAAATATGTTCTCACAGAGGCACAAACAATATCACTTATTGGACTGGCTCTGGCCAGCAGTTCGGCCTGTATCTAACGTGGGCCAGATTCTGGATTCTACTCACAGAAGCCACCCCTATGTCCCCCCACTACCAAAATTTTGCCTCATAAATCCACTACAAGTGGTCAAATCCCTGCCTGGGTCTGAGCTTTCATTGCCAGCAGTCCGTGAGACGTGGAACCACCTGTGAAGTTTTGGGGCTGGGTCCAGGTGAGGGTGCAAGCCTTGTCTGGCTGCGAAGTTGCTAAAAATGGGAAGCTGGAAAAACACAAAATAATGTGAACTGGTACAAAGCTTCCCCTGTCCTGGGGGCTGGGTGCTGCTTGGTGCCGGGTGCCCTCCTGTGAGCACGGTCCGGGGTGAGCCCCAGCAGACCAGCCCGGCACTGGTGTCACTGGGCCCAGAGGTGCATGAGGCAGGACGGCGGGTGAGGCGCTCTCTGCATGGTCACTGGCTTTTCTCCTCCAGGCCACCAGCTGGGCGCTGCCCTTCACAGCTCCTCTCTGTGCCTGGGACCAGCTGCAGAGGGATGGGTTCGTCAGCCGCTCGCTGGCTCAGCCCCGCAGCAGCGGCACGGGCACTGCCTGCGGCTGTGGGGTCTGCAACCCCCGCTGAGGCTGAGCCCCTTCCCCTGCACAGGGACCCCGAAATGCGGTTAGACCACGATTCTGTGACACCTACGCAGGTTCCTACCTGTGCTGCCCCTGCACTCCGGGCTCTTCTCGTCTGGGGGGGAAGCAGAAGGGCTGGGGTCAGTGCTGGCCCCGGCAGCCCCGGCTATACGCACCGGGACGATGCCACAGGAGCAGCTGGGGGTGCCCAGCCCCCTACTCACAACCCAGGAAGGCGCAGTTGAAGTGGCTGCAGGTCCTGTTGGTGCTCCGCAGGACAAAGCGGTGACTGCCCTTGTCCGGGAAGACCCAGAAGATCTCGTGGCCAGGGATCAGCACCTCCTCCTCCTCCGTGTACAAGGAGAAGGCGTGGATGGGGACCCCAAAGCAGCTGCGGATGCTGAGGAACGTGTCCTGCCCAAAGCTCTCTGCCTGCTCCCTCCTGAAGGAGGAGGAGGCGAAGGAGCCGAACCTGAAGGGGCTGGCGCCCTGCAGCTGGTAGCGGGTGTGGGCGATGCCCCGGTACACCGGTGTCCCGTAGGTGGCCTCGCAGGGACGCCGCAGCAGCTGCAGGGCTCTGGTCAGGTAGAAATGCAGCGCCTTGAAGGGGAAGCTGGCGTTGTAAGCAGCCCGCGACCGCCCGGCCCCGCATGGCCGCGTTGAAGAAGTGGTGCAGGCCATTGTCCGTGTAGGCAATCACGGCCTGGCCGTACTCATCCTTGAAGCCGGGGGCAGGCGGGCAGCCAGCGAGCCCTTCACCTGCTGCCACCGCTCCCCGGCGCGTGCCCAGACCCTGCCGAAGAGCCTGGACTTGCCCCGCGCCTGCTCCTGCGCCAGCAGCGCCGGCCCCACCGCCTCCATCGCCTCCGTGCACCCCTCGTACTGGTCATCAAAGGCGTCGTGGCTCATGTCCATCAGGAACTGGGGGGTCCTCCCCTGCGCGAGGGAACGGGGCTGTGTGGGGTGCACGCTGGGTGCTGGAGCCCCCTCCCCAGGTGCCGCGTGCCATGCTCAGGGTTAGCTGCGCCCACGCATCCCACGGCGTTCCCCTGCCCTGCCGTGGGTCTCTGCCCCTCCCGAGCCGGAGCACCGCGCTCCTTGGGGCTCCCCAGAAACTGGGGGATGCAAGAAATTATCTTTGCAGAGGCAAGCAGCGGGAGGGTGAGCAGCACCCGCATGGCTCGGGGCAGAATGCCCAGCGAGCATGGGGACAGTGGCAAAGCGAAGTAAAAGCAAAAGCCGCAGGATGGTGGAACGGCCCAGGGGCAGCGGGTGGGGGTGCCGCACTGCAGGGCCCCCACTCACCCAGGGGGCTGCCAGCAGGGCCCCGGCACAGCCATGCCCAGCGCAGCCGCGGGATCATCCTCAGGCCCATGGCACCTCCGGCTCTGTGGGGACAGGGGTTGGTGAAGCCTCGGAGGAGCCTCCGAGTGCTGCAAGAGGGAGAGCCTGGGACGAGCCCGTGTGGGGCGTTCACCATCAGGGACAAGGGTGGCCATCGGGTGCAAAAACATCCCATAAAGGTCACCCCGCATCCCCCTGGCTCAGGAGGAGGGACAGCAGCTTCCCAGGCAGGGAGCAGCCCCCGAGGCGATGAGGGGCACCCCGGGGTGCCAGCCCTGCCTGCGGCATGGGGACGGGGCCCTCTGACGGCTCCAGGGCTGCAGCCCCTCAGGGGGACCCCCCAAGTCCCCTGGGGTCCCGCAGAGCTGCCCTCGCTCCCCACCAGCCGGGCAGGCAGCAGCCCCCAGGCTCCCGTCCCGGTGCCCCAGGAGGTGTCCCCATACCAGTGGTGTCCCTGTCCCGGTGGTGTCCCTGTCCCAGTGGTGTCCCTGTCCCGGTGGTGTCCCATTCCCGGCGGTGATGTCCCTGCGGGTGGGTGCCCCTGCCCACGGGTGTCCCTGCGGGTGGGTTGTCCCAGCCCAGCAGGCCCCGGGGGCCCTGTGCAGGGCCAGGGCTGAAACCGGAGCTGCAAAACAGAAAACAGGAAAGGGGCAGACCCGGAGCTGCTGCTCGCTCGCCTGCTTTCATTTTCTGCACGACGTGGTGCTGCAGCCTGCCCTGCCCAGCCGCCACCGCCCTGCTTCTCAGTGCAGGAACCAAACCCCACGGAAGGGAAATTGCAGCAGCTGCAGGACGAGCCCAGGCCCGGCCACCCCACAGCCCAGGGGGGCTTAGGGGGAGACCAGGAGGCAGGGGGGACATGGGGTGGGTTCCTGCTGGACCCGGCGTTTGGCATCGAGGGGCTCCCATCTACATCCAAGCTCCGTTTGGGGCTGGAAGGAAGGAGAAGAACTGCGTGGTGTCACAAAGGGGGGTGCGTGTGCACGCGCCGTGCCCCAACGGGGGTCCCGCAGGGGTGGGAGCGGGCAGTGGGCATCGCACCGTGGCACCATCCCGGTGGGCTCCGGCTGTGGGGGGGCCGGGGAGCTCGGTAAGGCTGGCCAGGGGGCAACCCTGCAGAAATGGGGTCAGAAGCAGGCTGCACCCCTCCTGTGGCACCCCAACACCCATGGGCAGCGTCCCCCATGTGTGTGCAGCACCCTGGCACAGGATGGGGGGCTCATGGGGAGGGGGGTGCTCAGCCCCAGGACATGCTGTGGGTGCTGGTGGTGCCGTCCCCGTGCTGGGGGCTCCTCTCCCAGCCCCTGGCATCGGGTTTGACCCTTCTCGTGGCTCATGAAATTTGGGGTCGTGCCACAGGCCTGTGCCACCGCCCGGGGACCTGCGCATCGCCGGAGCCATGGGGGGCTCTGGCTTCCCCCCCCCATCCGAGCTGCTCCCGCTGCTGCCGCTGCTGCTGCGGCTGAGCCTGGTGTCCACCGTGCTGTGGCTGCGGCGGCTGCGGGTAGGTGACAAAATTTGGGGCAGGGGTGCTGGGGGCTGCCCCCCCCCCCTCACCCCTCACCCATCTACCTGGGGCTGATGCAGAGGAACTGGAGGAGGCTGAGGAAGCGGAGGCGCCGGGGAGAGCCCCGCAGAAGGAGCGCAGCGGTGAGTGACCCCCCA